CCTGACCCAAAACAGTCAACTTTTAGAAGGTTAATGTTAAATTTGGATTAGGGTAGGGGTAGGTGCGGAGTTGCTCGGATACTGGTAACGATCCATAACGGCAACCGTGTGGCGTCAAACGATTCAAAATGGCGGCAAGCAGGAAATTCAAACATCGATATTGCGTGCTATTTCCAGTTTTTGTAGATTTTGGTTGTTATCAGGTCGTATTTTTCCTAGTGATTCTTCATGTTACAAGACATTTTCATTTGTTTATGGCAAGTTTTTCTACCAATAAAGGACTCATTTGCCTTATAATGCAGACACTGATTATATATACTTTAAATATGAGTAAGTTAATAGCTAGATATAACAGTGAAGCTGTACTGCTTTGGTGATCTATGATGGCCACCCAGCCTACATCTGATTGGAAACTTTCCTTGCAGGTTAAATATCATTTGTGAAAATTTGGAGGTACAACCAATACTATTTGGGTCTCTTGATGATTTCCTTAATTCTCCCCACCTGTTGCTTGATAGTGTATTGGCGTTGTCAGGAGAAGTCATTACTTGTTCTGTGAGGTCTTCACAAGGAGAATGGGGCTTACATCCCTTTTCCGTCCTTGTTGGTCACGAGACCTGCCAGGACTGCATTATAAGTGTTCACTACGTTGTTGATGTTTGCCATACAATTACTTGATAGAGGCTGATTAGCGACGGGTGCCTCTGCGTTTACGTTTACCATTGCCATGCATTGGAACTGTTTCAAAAACCTGTAATAAGTTACAGCTTGTGCTCTCTGACCCTCACGCCGCCATAAGTCCGCATATCCCGCGGGGTCACCCATGTCTATCATTCGATTTTTTTCGTTTCCTTGTATGCGCTTACGGATCGGTCGCATGGCATCGAACATCCTCGCCAAATATTTGCTCATTTTGTTCAAGCACGCCTTTATGAGGAGGTTATCATGACCACAGTGTTGATACTCCTTATTTGCATCTCCCCAGTTTTCAATCATGGACACCCACAGGTCGTAGGTTGACAGCGGTGTGTTCAACGTGGGCCTTACGAACACCTTCATCTGCATGCCCACTACCACATGTCGTATGGCGCCACGGGTATGATACGCCTCAGCAGCGTAGAGTAGGGCCTTCGCAACGTTGTCTGTTGAAGCAGGAAATTATACATGTTTATCGTTATTTAAAGTTTATTTTAATTGTTACATGTTATTTAAGGTTACGATGCAACATAGTTATTCCTTGAATATCACTAGCATTCCGGATGTGTTTTTTTTTTTCAAAACACTCCTATTGTATCAAATCACAGAGCTGGATGTTTGCTATCTGATGAAAACTTTAAAAAAGCTCTTCTCAGAAACTTTGTGGTTTAACTTGTTTATTTTTTTTTTATCATGACTTTTTCGTCAGACGGTGGTGTGATTTTCTAGACCAATTACAAAGGATGAAAAAGCAAACCAAAAGAATGTTGGACTGACTTTAACAATTGACAGATGATCGCTCCATTTCGGTTTAGATTTGCACTACGACTAATCACTAATCACCTATCATGTTTGGTTTATATCCTCCGTTTTGTGATACAGCTGCCACAAACGCTTGGTACTTATTGTTGTGGGCGAGTCTGAAGTCATGATCGCTTGTTTCTGGCCCTTTTCTGATACTTTCTGCGGTGTTCAAGTTATCGAAGGTTGTCAGCCACCCATTCAACAGTTGCAGGGGAACCCTTTTTTTAATTTTTTGAGCCGACTGCTTCAGCACTGTAAAAAAATTGTTGTTGTACTTGAACACCTTGTAATAAGCACTGGCCAATTCTTGCATTTTGTACTTCACTTTCATCTCAAGTTTATCGACTTTATCAGCAAACTTCTCGGGTAGCTTGAGAAACATCTTTGGCATAGCGAATTCCAGGGTGAAGGCGTAAACATTTGTGTCAAATACAAGCTCCGAGGGTTTGCCGAATCCGTTCGGGGGGGCGGCTTGAAAATACTGATTAAAGCTCTGTGTGACGGTTCCAGAGTCTTTTCCGATGAGCCCGACGTCGTAGTCTGATTTGTAGGTGGCGCTGCCATAAGGTAAAGGAAAACACACTTTATCTGTAGGGATCACGAAGCTTTCAATAAGGTTACTGTATTTGTCTCTATTTTCCTTACAAGCGATTAACTTTCTATTACTTTTAACCCAAAGAACGTGGGTTACAAAAAGGTATCTAGCCGCTGTAATGTAAAGGAGGTTGATAGGGGTTCGTGTGGCCAGTAAATGTTTCCATGGTGTTGCGTGGTTGTTGTTGTTTCTGAAGAATTGCTCTGCCAGTCGAGCTGCTTCTGCCCAGCCTCTTTTTCCGATTTTACCTTCAAAACTTGGTAGTGTCTTCCACTGGTCTTTATTAGGATCTTTGACGAAACCATAAGCGTCAGCAATTTGAGTTTTCAACGGTTGAACATCATCGGTAATTGCTGGAGCCACTGCACGCCTGAAAGGATTGAAGAGTGGATAGATTTATTCAAAAAAAAATTTTTTGTGGATACAATTTTGTGATGATAAACATGATATTATAATGGTTCATGAAGCATTTCCAATCGATGAAATTACTGAACGTGCCATGAATTATTTTCTAGATCGCCGAGATCGCAGCGATAATTGTTGTGGAGGTGGTTAACGCGGCTAACCAAGTCGCTGTCGGCTTTAGTTTTACACCTGACTGGTTGAGAGAGTAGCACGAGTTTTCTGGACCAAGCGAAGTAAAGCAGCACCGATGAAACCTCGGATACTTTTCGACACTGCACTGATAATTGCTCATCTACGTACACTATTTTTGGAGAAATTCCTACCTTTCACCATCTGAATTTCCTTGGGAAG